AAGATTGTGATACAACCCCCTTTTATCCCAGCTTGACAGATATGAATCAACATCAAGATGCACATGATGTCGGGTTTTTCATATTTTGACTGTACTATAAAAAAAATGTGATTGTGAACTTGTAATTAAATTCACATGTAATTTACAGAAGTCTGATTTTGAATAAAGCTCAAGACTGCCCCCATGTGGATAAAATTTTGCACTACACTCAGGCAGTAAGATGAAGCACCGAATGCCAGTTTCAATATATGCTCATTTTTGGAAAATTATTTTGGGGTTGCCCAAAGCTTACCTAGAGCCTGCACCCCATTTATGAAAGGAGAAGTCCTTACCGCAGCTGTCAAGGTTCAATTCTGATCTGCAGCTCTTTGCTGCATGTCTCCCCTCTTTCCTGTCTCTCTTAACTGCCCTATCAACTAAGGACAAGAAAGCAAATAAATAAATAAATAAATAAATCTCTAGATTATCTGCATAAAAAGACATGAAGACAAACAATGTGCTGACAGAATTAACATAATGAATCAAGCACTTGCAAATGCATGTACGCATGTAGGCTATGCATAAATGTATATAATGTGTATGTGAATATTTATGTATCTAAATATATGGACTGTTTGTACATGCACACATACATATATGCATTTTTTCACACACCACAGGCTGTGTCAATGGTTCTCAACCAGGGCCCCGGCCCAAAAGCTCCACAAGGGAGTTCTATGGGTCCCTGGAAAAATGGGGTATAGTTTATTTTCACTATTTATTCTATTCACTAGAGCCCAGTGTGAGTAAGAATCATATGAGTGACTTTTCTGGTCACTGGCCTCTGGACCCTGTGGCTGGATCAGTTGGGAACCACTGCTCTTAAGCACACACATACTGTAAAGCAGGGATACTCAACTTGCTTTGCCCAGGGGCCACATTTGTAAATTGTCAGTAGGCCATGGGCTAATTATTTAACAAACATTAATAATATTTATCAATAAATGAATTGCCTGTTTTCAACCTGTAGACATTCATTCTGCTGCCAAGAAGCAAATCCAGTCGCATCAGCTTCACACAAGTCAGGTGTACGCAAGGGCGTCTCTAGGATTTGAGGACATTTGGGGCTTAGTCCAGACCTCTATCAGTGGGTCCAGGGGATCCTGCCCTGCCATGTTTTTTGATAAATAAGCTCTATCTTGATGTTTTTATGAACTCTGGCACCTTATTTTCAGCCAATGTACAAAAAAATTCCCTGGTGTGAATCAATGTGTTCATATTTTGAATTCGAAAATGACCAGCAGTCCACCTGGCACCCTATTGCAGTTCAGATTTGGCCCGCAGGCAGAAAGTTGAGTATCACTGCTGTAGAGCATCCACACAAACAAAATAACTTTGAAAAACATTCTCAGCACAAGGTCTATTTCCTGACTTTTTTCAGAGCTTACAACCAAGAACATCTTTACTTGCTCTCTCCAGTGTCAAGACAAAATAAAAAAAATAAAATGCCGTTTTTGAGAAAATTTACCAAATGCAAAACATCTTCATTCTAATTTTTAATCAGTTTTTTTAAAAAGTACATTTCAATTTATGTTTTACAACTACCAGGCAGCTCAGTTGTGTAAATGATTTAAATCTTTTTAGTAAACAAAAGTAAGAAGTAAAGTGCAGTTCTATGACAACTGAACATTAGCTGAAGTGATTCTTTTATATTTCTTCAAAAAAAGATTTTCTCTGATAGCAGTCTCTGTGATTCTTAACACAGTTAGACTTCAGTTGTACTGATAGGTCTGTGCAGCAGAGGGCAGAACAACACCACATTTCAGTAGGTACACTTCAGTCTAACTACATCTTGTGTTTGATCTCTACTCAGCACACAACTGGAGCCCAGAGTCTTCCCAAAATGAACGGCACACACTTAATCTCACCAATGAAATCATATTGCTCACAAGTCCATCAAAAAGAAATTGAATGTTAATGTTGCATTAGTGGAAATCTTCCCATAAACCTCCCTCTGATCTCACTTTGCATGGATTGAGATGATCTTATGATGGTCTTCAACGAGCAGACTGTCCATCATAAGGGATACTGTGAATTACCTCCTCATATCCAACGTAAACAGCTTGATCTTCAGCAAATCTGATCTATCGTAGCCTTCTATTCCACTCTCAGAGGATTAAATAGCTTTGCACTTTACAGGAATAATCCTCACTCTGGATATGTCTTGGCCTCAATAACTGAATTGGGTTGAGGGTCTGTGGAGGTGAGGGCTCCGTCTATTGCAAATCATTTCACTCTCTCTGCCTCAATTGGTTATTGGGCTCCATGAGAATTCCACCTTAAAAGAAGATGTGCAAAATCATATTTCTTGTGATGTTTGTTGCTTAAAATATGTCTTTATTCTCCGGAAATGTAACGCTACACCAAAATGTTCTAGCTCGTGTGAGTTTAAAGATACTTTTGAAGATTCTGCTGCCAGAAAACACTTTAAAAGTTATCAATTTTAAGTTTTAATAAGGTTTTGGCAGTGTAGTTAGGGACAAAAATATCAGGTTGAGTCTGCCATCATGCTAGCTGCTCTATGTGGCCATGTTTTAAGCTAAATGCTAACGTCAGCTTGCTAACATGCTTACAGTGACAACTTTAACGCGCTAATCTTTAGCATAAAATTTATCATTGTTTATCATGTTAGTTTAGCATGATAGCATGCTAACAGTTGCTAATCAGCACTAAACTCACAGTACAGCTGTGGCTAATAGGAATTGTCAATAGTTTTTTATGTATTTGGTCACAAACTAATGTATCGGACAAATATAAATTTTGACCTCATTATTGCACCATAATACACTGCATCCATTGACTTATTAGTTTTATAGTTTCCTTCTAATGTGGAGGTCATAAGTTGGAGCTGGGAATGATCACACCCAGTTGATTGCGTCAGAAAAGCAAGATGTCATTAAGGTTAGAGTTAGCATACCAATTCAAGCAAGGTTAGCCATTGTTCGCAATACTTGTTGATAACAGCGCATTACATTGTATTTTGCAAATATCATGTTGCAACATGTCCACAGATATAAGTTGGACAGAGCTGTGTGTGCAACTGTTTTGATGAGACGTATGACAGAAGTGCTAATAAACCGTATATTACCACAGATTTCACAACTGTTGATATGCAGAGCAGCCATATTGGATTTTGAGGTCAGAACTGGTGAGGTTCCTCCGACTTTCTGAGTTGGAAAACCGACTTCACGGGGCACTCCAGCTTAAATTTTGTGACTCGGAATTCAGTAATTCTGGCTTCCCAGTACAATTGGAACGCACCAAAAAGCTAAGAAGTCTCAAAGGTTATAATTATTCATCCTTCTGGGACCATGAATGTCTGCACAAACTTCCATGACAGTAAAGTTGTTGAGATATTCCAGTCTGGACCAAAGTGGCGGACATACCGGCATCCATGCTACGTCGACTAACAACTGAGAATCGCTTTTATCTCTGTCCGTCGGTTACTTAGAAAATGTAAATAGCATTGTTTAGCTGCAGACTGTTAAAACAAAAAAGCAGTAAGATTAACCTTTAAGGGTTCAGTGTGTAGGATTTATTGGCATCTATCAATGAAGTTGCAGAGGTTAAACCTCTCCCTGTCCCAGCGTGGAGGAGAACTACAGCGGTGGACATGAAAATGTGAATGGCCCTATCTAGAGTCAACTGTTCGTTTGTCCATTCTGGGCTACTGTAGAAACAACATGGTGGACTCCGTGGAAGAGGACCCACTCTGTATGTAGATATAAATGGCTCTGAGGTAACGAAAACACAATGATTCTTAGTTTCAGTTGATTAAAAACTAATGAAAACATAGTCATGAATATTATAAAACTACTATATCTGCTAACATACCCCTAAATCCTACACACCGGACCTTTAATCAGTGATGTCAGGTTCAGGGCAGTGTGTGAGCAAGCACTCTCTGAAGTGTCCCTTATCAAGAAACTGAATCTTTGCCAGCTGAGGGATACCAACCCGTTTGAAACTGTTCTGTAGCTGATTTTATGTTCAGACTTTAAATATAAAACCACAAAAGTGTCTTTTGTATTGGACAAGGATGCATGACTTTGGGGGTAAAACTATGAACTAAATCAAAATTGCAAATGCACCCTTCAAATCTCAAGCATACCTCTCTTTACTTCTAACACTATCAACATGGTCAAGCATCTTCCTAAATCTACACCTCAAAATACACCCATCAATACTATTCCCAGGTTTGTTCTGTCATCATTCCTATTACTCTGACACACTCCAGTCCATTTATTTGCCATCATTAATTATTGTGTGTATACTTATCTCTGTCAACAATGTAATTAGCAACCTTTTCCCCATCCGGTGACATTATGGTTCCAATCTGAGGGCCATTCAGTGTTGAGACATGCAGCGGCATACTGATAATAGTCATCCCTTGCCCTTTGAAATTGCACTCTGTTTAATTGGAGTAGAACTCAATTGTTCAACTCATTAGGAAGCCCCATTATCAAACTGAGGATGAAGTGTAAAATGTGATATGGATTACAGCTAATGCAGACACAGAGACGTGTTGTAAAGCTCAGTTCAAGTGGCCCGATACAAAGTTTTACAGGGAAAATGAAGATTGGCAACAAATGAAGCTGTTAGTATTTAGATAAGAGGATGAAACAGCTTGAGAGTCGGCCGGTAATAGCATCTATTAAAGTGATTTGAAATCAGGCTGAGGTCATCGTACTACAAGGGGGGGGGGGGGGGGGGGGGCTGCTTTCACTCTCTCTCCTGTCCCAAAAGCACTGGTCCCCGAGTTTAATCTGAAATTGAAGGTTCTCAACTGCGACGGATTATAGGGGCTAACCCAAGCATGCAGCCATGGACTGTGTCCTAATGAGCCCGGCCAGCAGAGCATCAAGTGACAACAAGTAGCTACTCCAACAACGAGGGCAACTTGGTGCCACCGACTATTTGTTTGAAAGGAAAGAGGAATAAATAGACACCAAAAAGCCACATTTTAATAAAAGGTGGTTTCTATTTTATGCTTTGTTTTTTGACTTATACATATTCTGAAATGAAAACACAAACATCTTTTAAGACTACAAGAAAACATATGTCGAATTGTGCCTTAGTGAGAGAGATTAATATATCAAGTATATACAGTGCGATGTAGGACAACAATTACTTTCTGTCGGTGGGATGGTTCTTACCTCAAATGTCACCATTTAGTAACTGTACAAGCAACATTAACATGAATGCCAAGAATGAAATTGTCATTGGTAGTCCTAATTAATATGGTACAACTGTTATACTGGATAAAATCTGACTCATCTGGCTCTATATATAACTGTGGGATCTATATACACCAATATTAACACTTAAATCCCACTCAGTCGACTCTTCTCTACTATGCATAAGCAACAACAACTGCAGGTTTGGAAGTAAATCAGAGAAAGTGCATGTTGCATCTTCTGTGCAGCACTGATGGCCAGATGAGTTCTCTTCTTACAGAAGTCCAGATGCAGGCCAGTTTTTAGAGAAGTCAATGTGGGATGAAAACCTGCAGGACAGTGAGTGATGTTGGGGAAGTGCAGCCAGCCCACTGCACTCACTCATGAGAGTAAAAGTCCACAGGAGCGTCGGAGTCTCTATGGACTTTTCTCCTCCTCTGATGGACTCAGGGGATCGCCGGCTTTCTCCTCGGCCGCCTGTCTCTCCTGTTTGCCCTCCAGCAGTCTGTCATGAGAAACCGTCCCCAGCACTTTGGCACTGTGCTCCTGTGCCTTGGCCCTGAGTGCAGCAATGCTGTTCTCTCTCAGTTCCTCTTTAGAAATGGTGGACTTGCCCTCTGACCTCTTGTCCTCCGCCTCAGCCTCGTCCGCCCTCTGAGAGCTCGGCTGCTGGGGTGCATCGCACTGTCCTGTTGGCGGGGGGACTGCTGCCTCCGTGGACTTTTTGTGCATCCCTGCAAAGAGTTGCGGGTATTCAGATTTAGAATAGCGTCTGGTGATTGGTAAGCCATCTTGGACTGAAAATAGCAAGCAAAAATAGTTGTGGTTTAGAATATAATGTTTGCATGGGTGATGGTGTAGAGGATGAGGATGTTTTATGTAATGAAAAGCCTCTGCCATGTTCTCTATATTTAGGACATTTCTAAATAGAGCATCTATAATTAGTGCCTGCAGACTGAATAAGCTCGTCACTGCAATGTGGTTATGATTAGATACGGGACATCCTGTGCTGTTACCATTGAATCATGAGGTAAATATACTCTCAACATCTATTTAAACATTGATGAGCTGTTGACACGATGAGACAATGATGCTGTGAATGTGTGTGTGTGTGGGGGGGGCATCAGGACATCAGCCTCACCGAGCAGCCAGGGGGCGCAGGACTCCATGATGCCATCCTTGGCAGACTTGAGGATGGACTCTGGCAGAGGGATGGAGTGCCTCACCATGGCTCCATACAGCCCGTACTCGGCCATGACGGTGCTGCGGCCCCAGCATTTCTCCCTCTTCCTCCACTTGGCTCTGCGGTTCTGGAACCATACCTGTGACAGGAGGACAAAACACCCAGTTGTATCAGTCACCAGCACCCTCACCTCCAAATATGACTATTAAGTCCAGTTTATGTCAGTGGGGAAAATATGCACCGAATCACTGGAACACTGGTTACAAAACATTAATGCTCTTGAGACTAAATGTGGTGCAGTTTTGTAAGCTTTTTTGGATCTAAAGCTGATACATGAGATTAGTGTTGTTGGGTTTTTCAAGGGTTGCAAACAGCAGCATGTAATTTGTATGTCCTTATGTGCAAGATACAACCATTGCTTTCACTTTCTAATAATGTCTAATTAGGCACCTGTAAGAGGTTTTGGCTTATTGATTAATAAATATTTTGCTGATGCTTTACACATCAATTATAAGCTATTGATAAGACTACATTTTGGATTGTTATGTTGTGAAAAATCCTCGTGGCTGCAGTTATCCTTTCTATCTGGATTTTGGTCCTTCTCCTCTGCAGCCATTTTCTTTATTGATGGCTTGATACCATTTATAACTGCAGACATGATGGCATATTGGAAAGTGTAAACCTCTCGGTATTTATTAATGCAGTACAAACATTTATGTCTGCATTACTGGAAATGATAAAGGGGATTTTTCACAAGCTGGCAACCCAAAAACTGTTATTAATGGCTTTTAACTGACCTGTAAAGCTTTAGTAAATTATTAACCATTATTAAAGCTATTCCTAATGTGGTATGCAACTATTTATTGTTTGTGCATGAAAACTCAATTTCAGCATTTCAGTAATTATTTGAAAGATGACCATCTCTAGTGCATTAGTGTAGATTTCAGGGGGATGCAGGGGACATGTCCCCTCAATATTTAGAAACATGTGCATTTGTCCTTCATTTAAAAAAAAAACATTAAAAATAACAGGTCTTTAATTTTGAAGAAATTAAAGACATTTATACCATAAATTGGTACATGAAAATAAATCAGAATGCAGGAAATTAAACGTTTGATGTTCAGCATTTCCTGTCAGAGGACACCCCCCCCCCCATTTCATATGTGTGTGCCCCCCATGTTAAAACAAAACCTATGCCCTTGACCACCTCAATATTTATTAATGCATTATAAACACTCATGTCTGCATTATTAGAAGGGATAAATACCATCAAATGGGATTTTTCACAACCTGACATCCCAGAAGCTGATTTAACAAGTTATAACCTCTAAAGCTTTAGTAAATTATTTATTAATCACTCCTAATGTGTGACTTAACTATTTATTGTTTGTGCATGAAAACTAAGTTTCGGCATTTCAGTAATTATTTTAAAAGTGACCCATCTCTAGTGCATAGGATTTCAGATTTCAAGGGGATGCATGGGAGATGTCCCCTCAATTTCTGGAACATGTGCATCCATCCCACCCCAAAAGACATGAAAGTAGCAGAAGACTTTATTTTTGAAGAAATTAAAGACAGTTATACTATAAACTGATGCATAAAAATTCACCAGAATGCAGGAAATTAAGACTGGGATGCTAAAAATTTTCTGTCAGAGGACGCCCTAACCCCCATGCTGACCACCTTAGTATTTATTAATGCATTACAAACATTTATGCCTGCATTATTAGGAGGGACAAACACCATCAAAAGGTAATTTTTCTTTACAACCTGGCAACCCAAAAGCTGGTATTAATGGCTTCTAACTGACCTGCAAAGCTTTAGTAAATTATTAACCATTACTAAATCTATTCCTAATGTGGTACTATTTACTATTTATTATTTCTGCATGGAAACTGTAAGCTCCAGCATTTCAGTAGCTATTTAAAAATGACCAATCTCCAGTGCATAGGTGTAGATTTCGATGCAGGAGACACATCCCCTTAATATTTAGAACATGTGCATTTGTCCTCCCATAAGAAAACATGAAAACAGCACTTTAAATTAATTTCTAAGAAATGGAAGACAGATATATAAATTGATGAAGAAATATTCACCAGAATGCAGGAAATTAACAGTTTGATGCTCGAGGTTTTCTGTCAGAGGACCCCCCCCCCCCCCCCCCCCCCCCCCCCCCCCCCCCCCCCCCCCAACCCCCTGTTGACCACCTTGGCATTGCAAACATTTATGTCTGCATTATTAGAAGGGGATTTTTCACAACCTGGCAACCCAGACGCAGTTTAGAAGCTTCTAACAGTCCTGTAAAGCTTTAGGAAATTATTTAATAATCATTCCAAATGTGGCACTTAACTGAACTAATTTATTATTTGTGCATGAAAATTTAGTTTCAGCATTTATCTTAAAGATAACCTGTGTGTGAATCAGTGGTGCGATTCAAAGTAACTTGAGATAACGACTGCACCGTTTGGATTGAGTCCATTGATTTCCCATAACCTGCTGGCTACAGGTGTGAAGGATCTGTGCCTGCTGTCAGGGCTGATCTCCAGCTACCTGTGGCCGCATTATAGATGCTTTGACACGTCATGACACCTCACTTGGCCACGGCCAACAAAATGCTGGAGGCTCTGCAGGCTATCTGTCAGCTCAGAGAGAGAGAGAGGGGCCAAAGTGATGGTATAGCCAAACACAGGACTGTTAAACACCCTGCTTAGGCACCTCTGATGGCTCTGTGTGAGGAAGAGGAGGGGGGCTGAAAGAGGGGACAGATATTAAATTGAAAACGATCAAACCGTTTTTTCTCTCTGGTAATTCTGATGATAACCCTTATTTCATACAAGATACTTTTTTTTATGAGAAATTGCTTCTCTGCCCCTCAAAAGGAGCCAGTGTGGAAGCTGCGAGGAGGAGTGACCCAGGGGCACGCCGAGGCTGATTGAAAAATAAGTTAATTTCAGGCCCAATCGATGGCGGGCAGGCGGGCAAATATCACGGGAAATTAAACTACCGGGACTCGGGGGAGCAGCGCTATTGACCCGTGCTAATAAATTCAATGTAGTTATTTCATTTGAACTCCCTGCGCCTCTCCAGCAGCAGCAGCCAGCCTCCCGAGCTCGTCTGATTTAACTAATTACCCTCAATGAGAAAATCGGGTGTTAATTTTATTTAGGATGGGAGCTTATTTATTTATTTCCCGTTTTATTATTTATCCGCGGCTGTACTGTTGCAGCCCGTAATGAGAATGAGATTAAAAGGCGCCCCGGCAGATGGATGGTCCAGGTCACACTGCAATCTTCTTCCGCCTTGATAGCTTGATTAGGTCGTTAGTGGCTCCTTCTGCGAGAACAAATTGTTTCACATCCAACTGCGCCTGATGAGAGATTATCTGTCCTGGCGAGGAATGCTGCAGGAGAGCGGGCTTTGTGCAGACAGGAGGGGGGCATCGCTCATCGATTTACGGGGGGCTCAATCAGCCCAGCTCCCCTTAAACATGGGAGCACCGTGAGAGGCAGCTGGCGGCCTGGGCTCACACATTACAGCAGCCTATTAGCACTGATGGGAGAGTGGGAGATTACAGGTGAATATTCATAAGGCAGACAATAATATTTGCCTTATAATATTCACAGAAATCAATTAGAGGATAATTAATTCTGTTTTAAAGACACTGTTGCATATTATAAGAATAGTTTATGATGCAATGTGCAGTGTCAGTTTAAAGAAATATATCTCATTTTTGAAATACAATTAAATTAGCTTCAACTTTATTATATTAGTGCCTTTATTTGGCTTTAATTAGCAGGGGACTCTTTGTAGAAATATGTAGAAAATATAGCTCAAACCAGTCTTTTTAAAAATATAAAATAATTATTTGAATATGTTGCTATTTGCACCTTTAAAATAATAAAATTAAAATAATAAATGTGTCTTTTTTTGTTTTTAAAATGTAGCATTACCGCAGAAAAATTTGGCAAAAAGCACCTTGTAACATAGTACATTAAAAAAATAGCCTATCTTTACTCATTTAAGTGACCATAAATGCTGCATATAACTCCTATATTATGACCAAAAAACCCCAACTCAAATACATTAAACATAAAAACTATCTGTGCAGTAACATAAAATAAAAATAAACAGGATGTTCAAACATCAAAAACTGCAAACTTTCGATTGTATAATGTCGCACCTGTATCCTGTCTTCAGGTAGCTCTGTCTTCATGGCCAGCATCTCTCGTGCGTAAACATCCGGGTAGTGCGCTTCATTAAAGGCCTTTTCCAGCTCCTCCAGCTGATAGGAGGTGAATATGGTCCTGTGGAGACGGGTTAGCAATTTAAATATGTGGACATATTGGACATAACATATTGTGTCCTGCAGATATCAGACTAAAGACTGAGAAAATATGATTTTAATGACAGGAAAAACAACACTGAACACGTGGAAATAGCGAATTTCAATAAACGGAAGTCTTTTATTGTGCATGTGCATAGATGTAAAATAATGTAGCACACAAAACAGGACAAGCTTCACATTTCCAGATGTCAATTACGACCAAAAAATGCAAGAAATCTGTAGGAAATTCATATTTATAATTTAGCTCATTATCTGTTTCAATAAAGCTACAATAAAAACTCAAAAAAGACAATTAGCACTGCATTTTGATTTTGTTAATCATTACTCAATACTGTATTTTACTAGAGTGATAAACAGGTACATTTCTGCAAATTTATAATATCTAAAAACTATTAATATTAGTCACTGTGAGCACTGTGATCAGCACTAACCGGTGGCGTCTTTTCTTGCGTTTCTTGCTCTGACTTACTGAAGACTTTGAGAGTTTTCGTTCATTTGAAGACAAATCATCTGAGTCTGGATTAAAAAAAAAAATAGAAGACAGCATTAAAGTTAATAACATCTATAAGAACGTTTGGGAATTTTTACAATAAATGTAATAAATAACAGTTGGCACTGACACAATGCTGCTATTTTTATAAGGCCCTCACATTTTAATTAAATCATTTAAAGCCACAAAACACATAATAACGAGGATATTAATAATACTATCACTAATATGAAATCATAGCATCAATACAAATAATTCTTCTGACAGGCCAGTACTAATAAAATGATAATACCAGCCTAATACAATGGGGAAAATAGGCAGCACATGCACAGTAGGTGAGGTTGTAAATATGCAGCAATGATCAGTGTATCAGTGAGATGAGTATTTCTGAATGTATGTGATCACCTGAGCTGGCGGACTGGCTGGTGTCCAGCGGCCCTACGGACCTGCTGTGAGGCTGCAGGTGAACATCTTGTGCGTCCGACAGCACCGTCTCCAAAAACGCAGGCTGCCTGTAAAACGTCGGAATTCCACCAGCGCCGATTAATCCCATCCCGACACCCACCCCCATGCCGGCGGGGCTCAGCAAGGACCTGGCGGCGATCAGGTGCGCCCCGGCCGGCAGCGAGCTCAGCGGGCTCCTCGGGGCCGCGGACGGCTCCTTGTTCAGCCCCAGTATCTCCTGGATGCCAAAGCCGGTGCACCTGGGCGGCGGATGGGTCGCGCTGCTCTTCGGCTGGTGGCTGTTACTCCCTCCATTCGCGCCCAGAGAGGTTTTCTCCGATAGATTTAAACTTTCCGACAGCACGGCGCCTTGTTTCCCCGTCATGCTTGTTCTTCGGATGCTTCTTGAAAGGCCTATTTTCTTATGAAACCGTCTCGCAGGATGGTCCCCAGTGCATGATCCTCTGTATAACACACAAGAGTCCTTTAGAAAATGGTCCTTTTATCCAACAGGTCCATCCCAACAAGAGGCAGGACCCAGCAGCCAATCAGCTGCAAGGATTCAGGATTCCTGTGGATCATGGATGCATTATACGCCCTCTCGGATACATATCTGCATTTTCCTCAGGACTATATGGATAAACGAGGAAGGGATTTAGGCTACAGAAAGAAAGGAGGGAATAAAATGAGTGTTTTGAAGGCTGCAGGATGCAAACAGGGCGGAATGCTGGGAATAAAAACTATAAAGGAAACCTGCACATTATACAAAGACATTCAATTATAAACGCTAAAACTATAATATTATTACACTCTAAACATTAAAAATCCACTGCATATCTATCACTGCCCACATCACTTTTCGTCAGGCAGCCAGGCCCAATTAAATCGTCTATTTCACACCTCTTACTTACCTTTGAAATGCTGCAAAATTACCTCAATCTGCAGGAATAAATCAGCATGTACTGCCTTTAAACACACACACACACACACACACATACACACACACACACACACACACACACACAGAGCCAGCTATGATCTCTCTGCTCAACCACTGGCTCACACGAATGGATAATTGATCTCCAGATGCTATGGGAAACTCATCACACGCAAATCAAAGGCCCTCCCAAAAAAAAAAAAAAAAAAAAAAAAAAACACCCGACAGCTGGACGATATGGACCCACCGTGCTGCACGGCCCTGCACTGCGCTAATCCCACAGCAGCAGCAGCAGCAGCAGCAGCACAGACTACAGAGCAGATTAAATCACTGGGACATTTCCCCGGAGGAGAGGGGGAATGATACAGAATATGGGACACAAGGAGGACTAATAATAATAATAATAATAATTACCTGGCCTGTTGTTAATTATCTTATTTCTATTATTATTGTTAAAACTCATCTGAACATCACACTAAATTATGGCTGGTGATGTGGGCCTAAAAGTTTGATTTAAGTGAAATTATGTTCAGAAAATTAAAATATACTTTAACCTATTGTATCCAAAGTAACATTTTTTGCTAAGGCAGTTGTGCCAAATTTCCCTTTGCAGTCAATGAAGTGTATTTTATCTTAATTTTCTGCCATAAAATTCTGTTATAATTCAATGAAAGTCAATTTTATCGGCCTACACATGATTTTCCTATACCTGCAATAATTAGCCATCATTTTGAACACAAGTAGTGACATTTTTATATTAGCATCTTGAAGCTAATTTCAGTCTTTGCATGATTGTTTGTGAAATAATTGCAGGAAAAAAGCTGATTGTGCGTCATGTAATTATTTTTATAACTCCAAATTAAAAAGGTGCAGAAATCTATCCTTTCTTTTAGGTGTTTCAGTGTCAATGAGTTAATGAGTGTCATTATCATAAAGCTAATTTTACATGTTTGTGCCAAGATTAAATCTTATATATGTTGTTTTCCTGTTTGCGTATGATATATTTTTGTGTCCATTACACTGGCATGAATTCTGTCACATATAATTTAAAACAAAAATGAAGGATTGGCCCATTCTGTGCATATTTTGTGTTCAGTATGCAGGGGTGTAGGTGTCATTTCAATCTTGTGGGGGACACATATGAAACAGAGGATTTAGATTTTAGAGATTTAGAACATTTTGAGCATTAAACACTTCATTTTACTTCAGTATAGTGAATTTTTCACCAATTTGTACATTTTCTGCATCAATTTATGGTCTAAATGCCTTTAATTTTGGTCAAAATTAAAGTCCTCTGCTGCTTGTGTGTTTCAATGGGGGTCTACACTTTTGACAGTGTGGCTTTTGATAGATTTACTGTGCATGCATGGCTTGCATGGATATCCTCAACATAATAATGCAACAATTATAGAGTATTTTCTCACGCAAAATAATAATAAAGGTGGTAATTAAACAGCAAAAAGGAGAAACTGCAGAGGAACTGGGACACACATGGTTGTTGCATCCATCTACACATTACACAACATATCTGATGTAACCCAAACCTACATGCATTGTGACTGTAGGCACACACAGTCTGAGCAGATCCGCCCAGCAGAGTCATATTTTATATCACACAGTGTGAAACGAGCTGCTGATTAAGAAGGAGAAAAATATTGCTGCTGCAATTAGTGGCAGGCCACTTGAAACTAATTAGGGCCTATTTAGTGGAAATTCTATTAATGAAGAAATCAATGTTATTAGGATATGCTAATGACACATCAGCCTGCTGGGATCCGGTCATTTATTAACACGGAGTTAAGGGTGTGAGTCAGAATGACCTGTCAATTACAGGTAAGTTACTGTCCGCTCTCACTCCATCACCACCTCTGCTGCAGGCTGTGTTTTTTTGTTTGTTTGTTTGTTGATGGTGCAACGCTTCTCCTCTCTGTATGGCTTTTAATAATCCATCTCCTATGAAAATGGCTGCACGCTGATTTACATGCAGGAGAGAGGCTGCCTAATAAGGCTCTAGATTAAGGGAAGATTTAGTTCAGCCATTCGTGTAGATTGGGTTGCCCATCAAAGACCTGCAGGATCTGACGGCTGCAGATTAAAAAGCAAACAGCTGTTGGAAATTTTTTGTTTATCTGCCCCCCCCCCCCCCCCCACCCCACCACCACCTCAACCCCACATCCTTTCTCTGCTCCCTACACTCCTCCTGTTCCCTGACATTTTTAGGCTCATAATGCAACATTATAGGAACAAAGTGTCCTCAAACCTTTAGGAGTGATGTTAACAGATTGATGAACGTATCCAGCGTGTAACCTTCAAACAGGTGTAGCTCCGCAGCAGGTCAAACACTGATAAGCAGCGAGCAAAAGCCGCCCACTATAATGAATATCATATCCTGCTGATGTGACTGCTAAAGCTTGAAATGCATTCGTGATAATGAATAAGCAGACAACTTTTTTTTCCTCTGCAGGAAGGTCACAGAAGCACGGCTGAATGCATTAACTGATCCACAACAGATAGATTCTCACACATGGGAATCATTCCTCAACATATGAACTTCTATTCATATAACACTTGTGCATTCAACATCTCTTTTTTACTAGGCTGATCAAAGTGGTGTGAAACTCTTCATCTGCTTTCCAAGACTAACAGATTGCAGGCAAATGTTTCCCCTTGCAGAAATAAAACCTCTTACGCAAGACGCCGGTGTGATTCTGTCTGTGGTGCTGAATCCAGCTGGATTCTTGGGTGTTGAAACAGGGTGCAGGACAACTTGATGACAGCACACATGTAGAGCCGAGTCAGGGGAAAAACTAAAGCACAGTCAGAGCCTCTGCTTTCCCAAAGCACTTGCAGGGCGTGATGTGATGTGATGCCCCCACCTCTCTCCCTCCTGCCTCCTCCCTCCCTCCCTCTCTGCCCCCCAGCTCAGAAAGAGTTTGCAAGCCCCGCAGCTTTCTCATGGCTCCTCCACAATGGCATGTTTGGTAGCTGCCCATCGGCATTGCTTAATTAGGCGAGGAGTTGATTAATTTGCACTAATTGACAGCTAATTTAAGGACTCAGGGCACATCGGATTGGCACAGAGGCTATGTGAGGTCAAAGCAACGCACTGCAGAAGGATGGATGGAAGGATGGATGGATGGATGGATGGATGGATGGAGGAACTCTGATTTTTTTTCCCCCTCCCTCCATATGGATGACCAGCTCTGTGGGGACTGACCCGTTTCTTGTAAAGGCTGTCTGGCTGCAGGGAGGCTGCGGGTGACAGGCAGCCACCAGTGCGTGCACCATATTGAGGATGTCAGGTCGCTTACCACGTCAGCGCTCAGCAGACTGAATGTGGATCAAGTCAACAAGTGTCCACACACAACCAGTCCCAGTGACAACAGGTCACCTTCAGTACTTACAGTCACAAACACCTAGAGAACAGTATTTCATTTTCTTTTAAAAGGGTTTAGAAGTTGCAGTGATGGGATGTAGGCCTAATTCATTTACTCAAGCACTGCAGGCAGGGGCGGACTATCAGACAGATGTGCCACATAAGAACAAGACACACACACCTTATGGATGTTTAGCCTCTTTTTGTATCACCAATTTGCATTTCTTTGTAGTTGCAATGCATCTTTTGTCATTTTGTGTCTCTCTGACATAATGAGGTGTCTCTTGGTCATTTTGTGTCTCTTTGACATAATGAGGTGTCTCTTTTGGTCATTTTGTGTCTCTTTGACATAATAAAGTGTCCTTTTTGGTCATTTTGTGTCTCTTTGAAGTAATATAGTGTCTTTCTTAGTTATTTTGTGTCTCTTTGGGGTAATAAAGTGTCCTTTTTTGGTCATTTTGTGTCTCTTTGGGGTAATAAAGTGTCCTTTTTTGGTCATTTTGTGTCTCTTTGGGGTAATGAAGTGTCTTTTTTTGGTCATTTTGTCTCTGACATAATGAGGTCATTTTCTGTCTCTGAAGTAATATAGTGTCTTTTTTGGTCATTTTGTGTCTCTTTGACATAATAAAGTGTCCTTTTTGGTAATTTTGTGTCTCTTTGACATAATAAAGTGTCCTTTTTGGTCATTTTGTGTCTCTTTGAAGTAATATAGTGTCTTTCTTAGTTATTTTGTGTCTCTTTGGGGTAATAAAGTGTCCTTTTTTGGTCATTTTGTGTCTCTTTGACATAATCAAGTGTCCTTTTTGGTAATTTTGTGTCTCTTTGAAGTAATATAGTGTCTTTTTTGGTCATTTTGTGTCTCTAGGATAATAAAGTGTCTTTTTGTGGTCATTTTGTGTCTCTTTGACATAATAAAGTGTCCTTTTTGGTCATTTTGTGTCTATTTGACGTAATGAGGTGTCTCTTTTGGTCATTTTGTGTCTCTTTGAAGTAATATAGTGTCTTTTTTTGGTCATTTTGTGTCTCTTTGGGATAATAAAGTATCTTTTTGTGGTCATTTTCTGTCTCTTTGAAGTAATATAGTGTCTCTTTTGGTCATTTTGTGTCTCTTTGACATAATGCGGTGTCTTTTTTGGTCATTTTGTGTCTCCTTGAAGTAATATAATGTCTTAGTTATTTTGTGTCTCTTTGACATAATAAAGTGTCCTTTTTGGTCATTTTGTGTCTCTTTGATGTAATGAGGTGTCTTTTTTGGTCATTTTGTGTCTCTTTGGGGTAATATAATTTTTTTCAGTCATTTTGTCTCTTTTTGGGGTAATATAGTTTCTTTTTTGGCAATTTTGTGTCTCATATGGGTAATAACGTGTCTTTTTCGGTCATTTTGTCTCCCTTTGGAGTAATATTGTGTCTTTTTTGGTCATTTTGTGTCTGAGGTTGTGTTTTCCATTTTTGTAGTCATTTTGTGTCTCTTCACAGTTATTTCGCATCTCTTTGTTGTTAATTTGAGTCTCTTCCTGGTCAGTATGAGTTAATTTGAGTGACATTTTGTTGGTGAGGGCCAGGGGTACCCCCTTGCACTTTTGTCCCGTGGGCCAGTGCGCAGTAATACTTCCATAATTGTAGACTACTTAAATTCAATGCTTTTTTTTTTTTTTTTTTTTTTTTTTTTTTTCTTTTTTTTTAAAGATTATTTTTGTGGGCTTTTGCCTTTAATGACAGGACAGAGAGTGAAATGGGGAGACAGAGAGAGAGTGGGGACTGACATGCAGCAAAGGGCCGCGAGTCGGATTCAAACCCACGGCCGCTGCAGCAAGGCAGTGCCTCTGTACATAGGGCGCTGGCACTATCCACTATTCTACCGACGCCCCTTAAGTTCAATTCTGAGGTACTTGTACTTCACTTGAGTACTTCTAAGTCATGCTGAGTATACTTACTTAACACTCCACCGCATTTCAGTGGTAATTTTTGTTGCACTGCATTTCACAGCTATAGTTATTTTACAAATTAATACTTTGCATACAAAACACATGATACATTGCTATATGATTGATTTAACTATCAGCTGTACATGAAACAGTTTAAATCAGCTCTACCCCGACTAGTTACAACAGTAAAATGCTACATAGGCTACACATGCATTAGTAACAATCAAACATGACAACCTATATAATAAAACTATAAGAGCCATTTACCTGCAGAATGAGTACTGTTAAGAAGGAGGAGGTTCAGAAGGCGAGGCCTACTATCATGGGCATCAGTCAGAATGCATCAGCCATTGAACTCTCTTTTGCACACAAAGGTTTATTTCCAAAACTCAAATTGCAGTTAAACATAAAGGGGGAGGGGCACACATATATGGGAAAAAAAATACAAAATCAGAACTTGAGTCAAATGAAACAAATGTGCAACTTAATAAGGATAAACAGTGCTCTAAGTTAAACTAATAATGTACAGGATAAACTAAAGAGAAAGAAACTGCTTACCACCACTGCTGCCTCATGTGATGATGAAGAGTGACTGAAAAGGTGTTCAGGGTTAAAATAGGGTGACCAGGTGAACTCAATCAGGTTAATGAGTGACCAAAGAGTGAAAGGAACCAATCAGTGCTGAGCAAGGAAAAGAAAGGAGGTAAAGAAAGTGAGGTAAGTATGTAAAAGAGATTTTAGAAATAAAGGAAATAAGAATCTTTACTACAAGTACTTTACACTTATTTTGGTAATGATCCACTTAAGTAACATTTTGAAATGGACTTTTACTTGTAATCATTAATGGGTTCCTGAAAGGGCCCACCGCCCAGGGCCAAAGTGTCAGGGGCCCCGTGGCCTTCACCTGCAAAATGACACAGAAATTACCAACCAGGACGAAACTCAACATAGCTGCAAAGAGACAAAGAAAACCACAGATGTAAAGGAACTGCAAACAGACACAAAAGAACTACAAAAAAGTCACAAAATTACAGCAAAGAGACAAAACCACAAAAAGATGCATAACAACTAAAGAAAGATGCAAAACAGCAACAAAAGAGAGGTGAAACCATCACAAAGCGTGTCTTACTCCTGTGTCTTGAGGTGGTGGGGCCTTTCACATATCTGTACCCAGGGGCCCGCTGTCTCAAAATCTGCCCATGCTAGTAACGGAGTATTTTTACAGTGTGGTATTGCTACTTTTACTTACACAAGGATCTGAATATTTCCTCAACTCTGGTTTGGCAGGGTTGATGATGTTTATCCTTTCAACCTGGTAATAATGCAGTCATGAATGGTTGCAATGCATTAACAAGTACTGCTGAGGGAGGGTGGTGGGGATGTCACAATCTAATAAGTCATCACATCCATAGTAATTAACGTTAGTAAGTCATTAATAAAGTTAATAATTGTTCCACATGCTCTACAACTTTTGTTCAGAGGGTAGGTGGCAAAGTAAGAGTAATGCTGGAGGAGGAATTTTATAAGACTTGGCAACCCAGAAGTTTATTTATCAATTGGTTATTGTTGCATCAGTATATATGTTATTAAACAATAATAAAGCCACTGGTTAATCATTATTTATAAACATTTTATAAAGGGGGCTTTATTAGAATGCGGTATTTACCATGGTGTGGGGATTTTAGTGGGCTCTATGTGTGATTAATATGAAAGTGTATGTATGCTTAGTTGTGTACAGCAAATCTTTTAAACATTACTTTGAGTTTTTCTGAAAACCCATGATAAATTTTATAGAGCAGTTTGGCTGTTAAAGGTTTTTGATTCAGTTTGGGGTGTAGGTATTTGGATCACCTATGGTGCTTTTACATGACCTACATCAGGTGTGTCAAACTTATTTTTTCCCCTTTCTTTGTGTGTATAATGTACAACATTTGCAGCTATTTAAAAAGTAGATGTTAGCAGTTAGCAGCTAACTCAAAGAAGAAGAAAACTGGCTGAAAATGTCCTTAAGTAGGGAAGGCAATGAGGTCTGGGAGCTCCTTACCCTCTGAGCAGGGCACGAGATCGGCTGCCATATAACAGAGATGGGAAATAATTGTTATTGACATGGTTATTGTTTATAAAGTGCTGCTGATACCTACATTAAATGTCACATAAGAGGCTGACGCTGTTGTTAGGTCGCACTTCTCGTGATTCTACGATGCCGGCATGCCATCTAAAATCACACAATGGAGGGGCATGATGCTGCCATAATTTGGTCCAGTGTAAAAATGCAAAGGCGGTATGAAGAAGGGACTTTGTAGCGGCCCTATAGTGCGATCTCTGTGTAAAAAGGGCAACTGTTTAACTTGCTCCTGAAACCTTGCATCAATATTAGGTGCATGTGCAAAGTCATCCAGTAGGCTGGATAGGATCCTTTGGGGGGCCGGTGGTGGCTCACGAGCCATATGTTTGAAAACCCTGACTTTTATATATTTGGACACAGCTAAAATTGTGCCTGCTACAGTAGCAGGCCATAGTGTTCAAAGCTCCACAAACTCCTCTCTCCCTGTCCCATAACACTCCAGCAGCCCACACTGAGGCCATCACTCTCCCTGAAACCCGCTGAACTGTTTAAATAATCCATATTTTTTAGAAGGGGTGAGCCAGGGTCCGCGTGAGAGGCAGGGGGTGAAGCCACTGAGGCAATGGCGGCCTCCGTCCGTGTGAATCGGAAAGACGATTAGGGGCTTATTAGCAGCCCGGGGAGAAGTGTAACTTGTTGGGAGTGAGTGGCCAGAGCCCCAGCGACATCTCCAGCCGAGAACAGTCCGAGGCATTGTCTTACCTAATTATGGCCGATGGACTTCTTTTTGTTTCCCATTCGGCATGCCTGTCTGATTCTCTTTTTGCCCGGCCGCTAGCTCCGACAACGCTGAAGTGTGCTAATTAGAAAAGAAATGGTCCTAGTAATTATGTCAGCTCTCATTAAAGGCGATGACAATGAGCAATATTATTTTTACGCAATGTTTTGTGTAGGGGACCCTGCTTCCAATGCTCATTAAACGGAAAACATGCCCTGGTAGCCGGGAAAGCACTCTCACGTCGGAGCTCCTGACATGTCCACAGTCGGAGAGGTGCTGCACTTTGTGGAGTGGCAGAGGCATGAAGTTAGTGCCCTAATTAAAAGTTAAGTCTCTATAAAAAAAAAAAAAAAAAAAAGAAAAAGGAAAAGTTAGCTGCTCTGGCTGCAAACTTAATCATTCAAGGGGACTTTAAATAAAAGGCAATCATCTTTTCATTTTAAAACTTTATTATACAACTTCACAAATTGCAAAAAAATGTAAATCATGTTGAAAATAGAAATAAGAATAAATAGGGTACATTTAATCAGGGCAGCTCTACAAGCGACAGGGAAATTCAGTGAGAAGTAATAAATCATTTTAAAGTTTCTGTAAATGTGAAGGCATCTATTGACAATGACAGGTGCACACAAGACCTCACGTGAGAGCTTTCTGCTCCTATTTATGGTTTGAGTGCAAAGTCTTTGAATTTTGTTGTAAAGGTCTGAACATGTTCAGAGCACACTGGTAAACTCATAGATCTGATTCAGCTCGCAGTCCCACATTGCTTGTTGCTTGCAAAAAACAAACAAATAAAAAAATCACGTCACTTCTTGGGCCTCTCCAAGATGTTCAGAAACTTCCCCCTGGTCATTTCTCTGGCTGGAAAACAAGAAGACACATCACATTTTTAATTTACACCTCTTTACAGGTTAATTTTCTTCATTCTTATGCTTGTGAGAGACCGAGACTCCGGCTTGCTTCACACCCTTCCAACGATCCCTCATAAGTTGGTAAAATCAGTCAGTCTTCCACAACATTTGCCTGCAGCTCTAAGCGCCTCAGAACTGTTGTTTAGTAATGCAAAGCATGTATTTAATATCTGCAGTGTCACACAGGGAGGTAATTTATACAAACATCTGTTCATTCAGGACATGGAAAACACGTAAAATGGAAGCGGAGCCACCAAGCAGTCTTGTGATTTGCTTGATTGCTGTTTCAATGTAGTGAAGTACAAGTGCTCAGGCCTATGCATGCATGAAAGTGTGTGTTCGTGCGGCTGCAAGATGAGTGAGAATAGAAGCAAAATGTCTCTATTAACCTCAACTTGTGATTATGGAGTATGGCCTTGTATAAGAAAAGGGGCAAATGGCAAGCAAAATAAGTATAAGAGTTCCACTTTAAAGGCAGAAGAGCAACATTCATTTAAGCAGTAAATACTGTTATGACCCCTCTGGGCTGGTGGTCTACAAGCCAAAGAGGTGGGAAGATAAATCTGAGGGGTTATTAGATGTTTAATGGAATAACTGCAAAACATGTTTGGCTATACAAATTTATTTGTGTTATTTTTTAAACTTTTCTTAAGTTGCATTTTTTGTATGTTCTGGATAATTCTATTCATTCAAACTTGAAAAACAAAAACAAAAAACCCACACCAAAAAAACTAGAATAACTGCCTTGCGGTTGTATAACCAGTATAGCAAACCAATCAAGTTGCAGTTACCGTTTACATCCATGTCTGTCCAGACTCATATGTTGCTGTGAAGAAGCTACATATTCTAAAACATGGATGCTTCACACACATCGTTAACCAGGCAGCACAGATGTATACACTCAGCACAGTTTCAAGGTGGACACTGAAGATTAGTGTCACCAATTCAGTATTTGACCAAATGTCTCTCCTTATGTTCTGAAGTTATGGCTTTGAGTAACGGCCAGGAAAGTGTTTTCAAAGAACTTTATGATGTCAAAGTAAAGTTGAACTTTGACCCTCTGGATAGAAAATGTCATCTTGTTATCATTTTATCCTATTAGACATTTATATGAAATTTTGTCATAATTTGTGACATTTGACCATTAATATCTAATCAGTCCATTGCTGAGTTCAAGTGGATGTTTGTGCCAAATGTAAGGAAATTCCCTCAAGGTGTTCTTGAGATATCACGTTAACTAGAGTGGGACGGATGGATGGACGAACAACCCAAAAACAAAATGCCTCTGGCCATGGTTATCGCCAGCGCGGAGGCATTAAAAGTTCAAATAAAAGAGTCTGAGAGAGAAAAAACACTCATAGATACAGTACTCTGTAAGAGCTGTCATTAGTAGATATTTTGCTTTGTTTTAGGCCTTGTCCACACATTTATGGGTATATTTGAAAATGCAGCTTTTTCTATGCATTTGGCCTTTCATCCACACACAAACTGCGTTTTAGGCCACTTAAAATGGACCTTTACTAAAACTCCATCCAGGGTGAAGGTGTTCAGAAACTCGTTTTCAGCATTGACCTGTTGACAGGGAAAACTGAGTTTTTGGCTTGAGATGTCAGAGTGTGCTTTTATGAGGCATCACAAATGAGGCGACATTCCATGCAACGGCTGACATGACCAAAACTGTGTTGGCTGTAACCTTGCGAACAGGATGTTTTAAATAAACGTTCAGTGACTCTTCCACTACATGGAGGAGCAGAGGCATCAGAATGAGCTATAGAGGTCACTGCTCCAGGCAGCCTTGTGCTACAAGCTTGTTTTCAGGCTCATGACTGGCCAACTTCTTTTTCTGTGCATTGCTTAAAGATTATAGTTACATCAACTCCTGTTGATACCTGACAAATACCCATGTCAGTAGGGACTAGGGTCATGTGTCTTAAAAAAAAGGAGCTGAGGATGTAGTTGAGGATATAGCTGACACTGTACTTACATGAATGAATGAATGAATGAATACCTTTATTGTCATTGCATGTTTACATACAACTAAATTTGCTGTCTCTCATAAAAGAAAAACTGTTCTGTTGACTCAACACACACATACCCACGCACTGAAATAGGATAAGGCTAATATATGATAAATACGGTGCTATAAAGAGGACAAGATAAAGTGCATATGCAGTTATTGTACATCTGTCCATTGTAGTGCAATTTAAAATTGTTGTGGTGGTGGGTACGGGAGGGGGATTTGGGGGAGAGAGTTCAGATCCCCCAACCCCCCTCCCTCCCCTTCACTACATGAGCTGAGACTAGATATCATCTTGTATTTTGCATTACGATACAACTGAAAAAAAATATATATATATATATATAAATTAAAAAAAAATAAAGATTTTTTTCCTCAAAGACCACATCACTATCCCCTGTAAATAAATGTACCAATAATTATACCAAAATTACAGTTACATTACGGTATGGAGTGCAAATATTTCCGAGCTCTGCTCATTTTCCACACCCTGTAGAGCGACATCTGTGATGCAAGTAAAACGCATTGTTTAAATTGTTAAAGGTCCTACACAGCAGGATGTCTGGGTGGGATCCAGTGAGCTAGGCTTCACACTCTGTGCCATTGACAGGCCTACAACAGAATTGTCCCTGCTGAAGGCCCTTTGTAAAACTGGTCTTCACAGGGAGAGCAATCATTGCTGAGGCTTTTCTGTCACAGACAAACCCTCGTGTCACTATGGAGACTGCGGGGACTTTGCTGCAGCATCATTATAAACCCTGGAGATGCATCATCCAGGTACAGTAATTACTCTGTAAAAGATAAGAAGAGGATCTGGCTGCACTACAGTTTTTATGAGCTGCAAAGATCACATCAGCGACTCTATTCAGTTTCTAACTAACCTTGTACATCACACAAATATAAGAGTACAGAGCAGCAGAGAGAGGACTGATTTCAAATGGGCATTTAGCAGAAAGTCATCCACCTTCATGACGTCTGCAAGAAGAATATGATCAGGATCTCAGCTGGCTGCTGTCTGCCTGCGCGCTGGTGTGAAGGGCCCCCGCCTCCCCCGCTCACAGCGGCTAATGAAAAAGCTGGGCCAGTTAGTAATTTAGATGAGTTGCCCAGTGCGGAATGATAATGGTG